ATTTGTTGTTCCTGCGCAACTGCCGAGACAACAACTTAATTCCCACATGCTTCCAACTTAAATTCCACTCTAAAACCCCAGCTACCGAAAGGATCCTGAAACGAACTGAACTATCCCAATCAGAAACGAACTACATAAGAAAAGATAGCCTACTAACCAAACCAACAAAGATCTGCTCACTCTTCACCTCAAACTCGTAACAAATCCACCCTGCACTCTGGGACAAAAGCAAACAACTAGCCGTCTGGAGAGCTGAAACTGAGACCTCACATAAGGACAGACACACACACCGACAAACGTCCACAAAACAGAGAAACGCCAGAAGCCCAGCCACCCTCCACAACAACCCATGAAACAAACAGTACATAACATATCAGACAGGGATCCTCACCTCAACTGAAACCAAAAGTACTCTCCAAAGGTTTCAACTTTGCAGTCGCCCCGAGACGCACCCCACGGAAACATCATATCGGAGTCGAAGCTAGCCTAACCAAATCAACCCAGATGAAGCCAAATAAAATCAGACTTGAAGTCACCAACATCCTCTGCTCCAGCAAACCACCCAGAAGCAATTTACACAAAGAAGAAGCAGAAAGCACTCACCAACCTGAGGAAAGACAACAACATAATCATTCTCCCAGCAGACAAAGGTAATGCCACTGTTGTGATGAACACATCGGACTACAAGCAAAACTATCAAATCTACTCCAAGACCCTACCTACCAACCTATAAAAACAGATCCCACTACCTATCTGGAAAAAACCACCAAATCCAAAATAAAAGCCTCTCCTATCAGTGAAGAAATCCAGCTAAGAATCATCCCCAGAGAAAAATCATCCAGATGCCCCAAACTCTACGGCCTCCCCAAGATACACAAAGAAGGAACACCACTCAGACCAATAGTCAGCTCCATAGGCTCACCTCTACAAAATCTCGCTAAATTTCTCGCTAAGCAACTTCAGCCCTATGCAGAATCCATCTCTTCACACGTTACAAAACTCCTTCCAGTTCATAGAAACAATAAAGAAGCAAACCTACATCCCAATGACCTACTTGTGAGCTTCGATGTTGTATCTCTCTTCACACAAGTGCCCATTAATGAAGCCTTGACAGCCATTCAAAACAAATACAATCCCCCCGAATACATCCTGGACCTGACCAACCACTGCCTAACCAACACGTACTTCATCCACAATGGACAAAGATACAAACAGATAGAAGGAGCACCTATGGGATCACCACTCTCACCGGTCATCGCAAACCTGTACATGGAACACTTTGAAACCAATGCTTTAGACAAGTCAGAACACAAACCCAAACTTTGGCTCAGATATGTTGACGACACCTTTGTAATTTGGCCACACGGGAAGGAAAAACTAGATAGCTTCCTCACACATCTCAACAGCCTACACCCCAAAATACAATTCACTATGGAAATAGAAGCCAACAACCAACTTCCCTTCCTTGACGTCCTAATCTACAAAAAACCTGATGGCTCCCTAGGACACACTATCTACCGGAAAAAAACACACACCAACCGCTACTTACATGCACAATCACACCACCACCCTGCACAAATAAACTCCGTAGCCAAGACTCTCATCTCCAGAACCAAACGCCTGGCTGACAAAGACCACTTGACAACTGAGTTACAGAATCTCTCCAATGTGTTAATCGCCAATGGATACCAGCAAAACAGGGTTACGAAGCTAATGCAAAAGAAACACCCCCCAAAAACCAAGACACAGAAGAAACAATGGCATGGCCCTCCTTCCTTATATCAAGGGCACTACAGATAAAATTAGCAAAATCCTCCATAAACACAATATCAAAACAGCCTTTTGCACCAACCAAAAAATAGCCAATATCCTCAGAAACCCCAAGGATAAAATCCAGTTGGAAAACCAAGGGGTCTATGAAATACCCTGCAAAGTCTGCCCAGCCACGTACATTGGACAAACAAACAGACGAATAAATGCACGTATCGCAGAACACAAGAATGCCGTCAAAAAAGAAGAAAAAACTTCCTCTCTTTTCCAACACATGAAAGAAACAGGACACGAAATTAATTTTGCAGATTCCAAATTGCTCTCTAACATGGAACATCACCACAAGAGAATAATCATGGAAGCCATCGAGATAGAGAAACACCCTCACAACATGAACAAGCGTGACGACACATCCCGCCTGCCAGACATCTGGAAATTAGCCCTCCCCACAAAAACCGACACCAGATCCAGAGGCACACAGAACGCCATCACCAATCAACCACACCAGACCCAAACCCAGACCCTCTCCACAGATAAATTACAGACACCATCCAGTAGCCAAACCATGGTGGCACCTCCGGATGCTGCACCCCCCTGCAATCCCTACACAGATCTGGCTAGCACAGGACACAAAACCACAGCTCGCCCCTATACACGAAGCCAAGCCAGAGCACAACTAATTGCAGTACAGCCATCTTCTCAGAAAAACTCTTCACAAAGTTCAAGAGGTCAAGACACGAAGGCTTTAGCAACTAATCCACACCTAATGACCCACCTAAGTGGTACTCAGGATATCACTCAAGAAATCACTCAAGATATCCCTCAAGTAATTAAGGAACAAAAGAAGAAAAGGCACACTAACCTGGGAACTTCCTCTCTGCCCAGAACATTGGAGGCTATACACCACACCCCCTCAACAGTATTTATAGGAACTCAAACACTGAGATCCTGCTCTGTTCCAGTAACAAGAAGCCGAAAGCACCAGCCTGAAGATGACGAGTGAGACCTCGTCGAAACGTCGCCTAGACACCCCAACTTTTACACGGGAAGACACCCGAGGACACCAAAACCTGCATTCCTGTACCCGTGAAAATCTACGAAAGCATATATATATATATATATATGCAGGTTTGGTGTCCTCGGGTGTCTTCCCGTGTAAAAGTTGGGGTGCCTAGACACCCCAACTTTTACACGGGAAGACACCCGAGGACACCAAAACCTGCATTCCTGTACCCGTGAAAATCTACGAAAGCATATATATATATGAAATACCCTGCAAAGTCTGCCCAGCCACGTACAT